GAGAGAGAGGGAGAGGGAAGGGAGAGAGGGGAAAGACATCTTGTCACATAAAAGTCACTTCCTCTGAATACTCCGCATTTATTATTGCTAGCATTATACGATATAAGTTTAATTACCCAATTAATAATGGTAAATTTTACTTTGCTTTTAAATTTGTCTTGAAAAATTAGGAATTTAGCCAAAATCTAAAATTTTTTATTCAGTTTTGTTCCAGTTTTTCATTTTGATTTCAATATTTTAAACTTTGTAATGTAAGTCTCATTCTGGTGATTTCGTTGGAGATTTTTTGCGGATTCTTTTTTTTTGAAAACAAAGTTGAAAAATTTGTAATTTACTGCAGTTTTTATTGTCCGCTTTGATTTAATGATTTGTTACAAACTTGAATTAAAATGTCATTCAACCTTTTGAAGATTTAGAAACGTAATAACAAAAAAAGCAATCTATAGCACAACTTAGAATAGTTTATAATTATCACATACATAATACTATGTTATGCTGTCTGAAATGTCACTGTATTTACGTTCATATTCCATTAATTTTTTGCAGCATGTTCCTTCCGGTCAACCGTACGGGCCGTATCCGGCAGGTCAGTGTTATCCACCAGCCCCAGGCTATTATTATCCACAGCCGTGTTATCAGTAAATTTCGCTTTATTTATGATGGTTTTTGCATTGTAAACTTTTGTGTAAGGATTATTTAAAAAGAATTTTATTTCATGAAAGAATAAGAACTTGAATTCAACCATTAAATGTAAATGATTTATAATCAATTAACATGAAGATAGAAATTATGTAAGGAATTACCGAAACATTTTTAAAAAAGAAATTGTTTGATAAAGAATTATATAACTAGCAAATAATACCAAGCGTTTAAAATCTCAATCGTTACCATCTTCTTTCCCATTTCTCTTTCGTACGCAAATAATTTCCGCGCATTTTAGTGAAAGGCCGAGATATTCCGGATGTTCCGGTTGGTTGATGGCTTTAATTGCACTATGCTGTGGATGTTTTATCGGGGAGCATTTTGATACAGACTGCTGTTGCTGCTGTATTCCTTGTCCACCGTGTCACAGATGCTAAAAGTAATGGAAATGAATGTTTTGATGTTGAAAATCATCGAGAGGATTGTTTCTGAATAGCAGGATATTCGTTCTTCCTTGTTATATCCTTATCAATATCTCTGAATTCATTGTTTTGTTATTACAGTTACTTTCTTCGTTTTGTTTTGATTTCAATTTGTCAAACAATTTTTTCCATACTCTTCACCTCCTTTTGTTTATATTAATATTATGCAGTAACAAAATTATCACTGTTCGGTGATACAGACGATGTCAGATGATGATACGATGATAATGATGATATTAGAGATGATGGCGAACAAGCTCCTGAATGAAAAGATTATGATGCTTATTCTTTCGGCTACTACGGTAACTCTCCCACATTCTCGATATTTTATCAAAAATTCTCCCCACTTCATCAATTCTTTCATATGCATATACTCTTCTGAAAGTTTATTCTGTTCTTCAATATATTCCCCACTGTTCCATTATAACAATCCGAAATATACTTATCCGATTCCTTCCTTTTCAATCAAAAAACAATGTTGATGGATATATATCATTAATTATTAAACAGTTATTAATATCGTATCATTTTGATCTTTTATTTTTGATTCATACAGCTATTTCTTCTATAAAAATTTAAATTTATAAATTTTCAATATGATTAAGTGAAACTTTTTGGATTGCTTGTAAATCATATTCGCCTAACAAATTACAATCGGTGCTACTGGATTAAGTAAGACTGCTAGATTAGGAAATGGTTAATTTTGCAGATAAGCCAAAATGATAATGTTTGAACTAAGTAAAATTAAAAAAATATGAACAAGATGCATAATGCCTAATCGGAAATGAGAATATATCCAAAGTTAATTCCTCAATTCCAATACATACATCAAAACAAATATATATGTAAAGTTCGGAATATCAGTGGACAAATTTGCACAAGTTTTGTCCCCAGTTATACATATTATAAATATGTAAGACATAATCACTAAAGCGTTTTAGGATTTGTTTGAAACATTTATAATGAAATTTGCATTTCCTCGAGATAACCGCTTCTTCTACTGATTCAAATTTGCATATATATCGTTCATCAAAACATTATTTTTCAAAACAAAAATTTGACACATAGCTTGAATTGATTTATACATGAATTATAAAAACCATATAAGAAACATTGGAGAGCTCTTTTCCCCCAACATTTCATAAATGAAAATTTTCATACATTACAGGATCCCCGCCACAACAAATCCACAAATTTAACCTTCAACGCACCATAAAATATGCAAATGCCTGGGCAAATGGTGATCATTTCAGAAAATTCTTTTTTATTTAATTGCATTTCATTGTATTATAAGGATATGAAAACAAAATCCTAATTTTTCCTAACAAAAATTTCTACATAAATGTTAAGCAGAATACAAATTAATTTCAATATGAAGTGGAAAAAATTATGAAGCGAAAGAAAGAACAAAAACAAAAAGTTAAAAACCGTACCTAACGAATAAAATTATATAATAAACATAAGATTGTTAAATCAAAACTATGAAGAAATGGATGATTGAATCCAAACTGTGCAGAAAACGAACGCTCTGAATTAATACAGATAACGGAAAATATCACGATAGGAAAAGAAACTGCTTCATGCATTTGATAAAGTGATATACAGCATACAAGTGATGTAATGTGAAGTAAATCTCGACAAAATGGAAATAGAATAATAATTGGCCTCAATTAACTTTCTCATCAACACTATCTAGTCACTCGGTATAGTGTATCTTCAGCATCAAAATCAATGTTAGGCAAACAAGTTTAGATTAATTGCGATCAATTTTATTTCTATAAGTTTGGAAAAATCTCTGAGCGCTATTCGGAATAAAATTCATAAAAAAATGAAAAAAAAATAGTCGGAGACGAAAAACAAGAACACAACCATAAATAAATAGTGACATCAAAAAAATGAAAATCAAAGATCTATTTAAGCGAAACATCTGCAATACTTTCCGTTCAAAAAGAGAAGATTCCCACAAATAAAAGTTCAGGATATAAGTATTGACAATAAAATTTGCACAACCAAGACAAAAACTGCAGTCTCATCAAATGAAGAAAATAATAATTAAAGAGAGAAATTAATTTATAAATTATGATCTCTTTATAATGTCGCCAGTCTTCGTTACCGGAAGACGATTATAAGTCATCATCTGTAATTTCAAATCCTTCATTTCTTAACGGTAATGCCTTCTGAAATAAATTCAACAGTATATTAATTGTGATTTCGTCCTTTCAAAAAATTCAATTTAGGCTCCGTCATGACATGGTAACAGAACTATCTGCTTCGAACTGTCCAGAGAAATTCATTATAATTTTGGAAGTTTCAAGCAAGCCCTTAACAGTCGCATAGTCAACTAGCTAATATCAAGCGGTCTTAATGAAGAACGCAAAAAGAAAAACAATCTTCATTATATCCAATTGGGCAACCTCAATCTAATTCCTTTAGGAAAACTTGGCGTCAACAATCATGAAATCCAATCAGTGTATACTACTTACCATACCAACTACAATATATTTGGAAACAAAATAAACATGAAACGAAAATATACCGAAATTGTGGTAAAAGCATCCCGCACAGACTCATTAGAATCTCCCGTAATCGATTCTGAATTTTGCCTATGCGTCATATTACCGTAATGATGGTTTACATCGACCGAACGAATGCTACCATTGTCGCTTCGAGCATTTGCTAGTAGGTCACGATTTGAAATGATTTCAGTTTCTTCGACCGTCGTCGATTGTACCGAATTTTCCCATTCATTGTTCTCCATTGGCGTTGAATACTGAACAGCTTTCGAAATAACGGGAGACCCTATCGAAGCATCTTCTTGTGAGGAATAAATTCTGAATACATCTTTTGTTGGATAGTCGTAGTCATGGCCACCAAGCTAAATATAGGAAAAGAGACGATTGTATCTCATCAAGAGCATTAAAAAAGCAGACTCACGGAATGATGTGACCATTAAAAA